TGCACTAAAATACATTTAAATACTTGATTCCATGAGTCAGTTTATTGTAGTTTTTGATTTCTGTAAAATAAGAGAACCTTTTTGTATTTATTATTGAATAAGTGAATGAAGCTATTTTTAAAAAAAAGAAAGTTAGAAGAAAGCCAAGCTGCTGCTGTTACCTGCAGAACTAACAAACTCTGTTACTTTGTACAAAAGTGTAAATATTTTGAGAAAAAAAAATAAAAAAAAAAATACAGTATAAAAATAGTTATTGACCAAATGCTACCAGACTCTGCAGCAGTTCGGGTGCTTCTTACCACACGTCGATAGGGATGTTACAATATGATCTCCTGCACTCACCACGTGCGATTCCAATTCCGGAATAACCAAAATCTCAATTTAAAGAGAGAGGGGGGTTGTTTTGTTTTTTTTTAATGTTTAAAACAGTCTCAACTGTGGTCTTATGAGAATTTTTTTAAGTAAACCTTAAAATGCCTGGGAAGGGCGTGTATATTTACAACTCTGACTTTTGTAGATGTTTGGGTAATTTAGATTAATTTTATTTGTATTATATTGTTGCATCCCTATTTCTTAAGTCAGGTTTTTTTGTGCTTACAATTTGTGATAACTGTGAATAACTGCTAAAACCACCCAAAACAGAGGCTGGACGTGGTTGTGGGGTTGGTTTTTTTTGTTCTTCAGCAGCAGTAGTGGCTGAGGTGACCGTTCAGCCGCCCTTAAACCATGTCCACGGCGTAGAATCACGTAGTTGGAGCTTCTCTGCGACGCTCGCCTTCGGGAGATGAAAACGAGGAAAAATAAATGAGATGTTAATTTGCTTGCAGCTGCAGGACTCTGGCAATAGGGGTTTGGAAAATGTAATTTAAAGATGTGTTTGTATGGATTGTTTTTTGTTTACATTTCTTTAAAAAAAAATAAATAAAACACTGTTTTGTGTTTGCTTGTAGAAATTTAATCAGCATTTTGGAACCAGGTTAGCTTTTTATTTTGTACTTAAAATTCTGGTACTGACACTTCACAGGCTAAATATAAAAAAAGAAAAAATGAAGTTTTTTTTTTTTGTGTGCACAATGAAAGTGGACTGTAAACTGTCGGTATATTCAGTGCTACAGTTCTGAACTTGTAATGTATATGGCATGATGTATTTTTATCTTACAGAATAAATCAATTGTATATATTTTTCTCTTGATAAATAGCTGTATGAAATTGTTTCTTGAATATTTTTCTTCTCTTGTACAATATTCCAACATCCTACCAGTATTTGTCCTACAGTTTTTTCTGTTCTGTATAATAGTATCTAATGTTGGCAAAAAAAAAAAGAAAAACCACACAAAAAAAAAGAATTTTTTGAAGTATACAGAGTGTTATGGGTTTTGGAATTTGTGGAAACAGATTTAGAAGATCAGCATTTACAAATAAAAATATTTTACATCTATAAACGATACCCTCCTGGTTTCATTGGGGGCGTCTGGTTTCCGGTTCTTCCAGGACGTGGGTGCCCAGTTCCAGCGCTTCCCCGATGCTTCCCTCGGTGCTGCCTCATCCCGAGCACCCACCAGGTACCACAGTTGGGTTTTCCCCAGAAAAATCTGCAAAAAAAAAAAAGAGGAGGAACTAACTACGGTGCTCTGTGGATACTGGTTTTGACTGGGACAGAGCTGACTCTCTTCCCAGGAGCTGGCAGGGCTGGGGGTGAGCAGAGCGGCGCTGACAACACGGGGCTGGTGCACGGGGTGGAGGGGCAGGGTCACCCCCCAGCAGTGAGTGGGTCAGAGATCGGGGGGACACAGCTGGGGCCAAAGGGCTCCGCTGTGCCATTCGGTGTCACACTCAGCACATAGGGCTGGGGGGGCAGAGGAAGAAAGGGGGGACATTCAGTGATGGTGTTCATCTTGCCCATCACCATTCCGTGTGCTGGATCCTGGCTTGCTGAGCACTGCCTGCCTCTGGGAAGCGGGAACAAGGTCCATGTTTTGCTTTGCTTCTGGGTGCAGCTTTTGCTTTACCCCTTAAATTGTCTTCAGCTCAACCCACAAGGTTGGTTTTTTGCCCTTTCACAGAATCACAGAATCACCATGGTTGGAAGGGACCTCTGAGATCACCAAGTCCAACCTTAAAAAAAAAAAAAAAAAAACCACAAAAAAACCAAAACCCAAACATCATCAACAAACAAACAAAAAAACAACCACAAAACACCCCACCACATCACACCCTCCCACAAACCAATAATCTCAGGCACTAGAGCATGCCCTGAAGAGCCACCACTACACGTTTCTTAAATACCTGCAGGGATGGTGACTCCACCACCTCCCTGGGCAGGCTGTTCCAGTGCCTGACCACCCTCTCAGTAAAGCAATTCTTCCTAATATCTAATCTAAACCTTCCCTGCCACAACGTCACACCATTTCCTCTGGTCCTGTCATTCCCTCGGGAGAAGAGACCAACTACCCACTCAGGTATTGTAGAGGGCAATGAGGTCTCCCTTCAGCCTCCTCTTCTCCAAACTAAACATGCCCCATCCTGTCAGGGAGGGGGTGAATGAGGGGCTGGGGGGTTTAACCCGTGTCACTGTGACACCTGAGCCCTGGCACAACCTCCGTGCTGGGGTCAAGGCTAAAAAAGTCCCCCAGGATTTCTGGCAGAGAAGGGGGAAGGGGCCAGGCCCAGGCCCATATCGGGTGTCAGTTATACCGGGGCCCTGGCACAGGGGTCAGCGCGGGGCAACCACGGAACCATGGGAGAAACCAGCCATGGAGCAAAGCCCATCTCAGCATGGGGCTGTCCCAACCAACCCCATGAGGCGTCAAGAAGGAGATACTCAACACAGAGGCTTAAAAAATCAGTCCCAGGCACAATTTCTTTAGCATCATATGTTTCTCAGTAGGACAAACTGAGTGCTGTGGTAGCTTCTAACCTGGGATAAGGCTTTTCCTTTTACGCTTCCTGCTCAGCCTAATTCCCAAGGGTCACCTGTGAGTGGTCACGCAAATATGGGAATAAAACTAGGAATCTCCACCTAATCCCAGGCAGCCCGTGCAGGAGGTGGTCACAGAAAAGCCTTAATACCCCTCACGTGTTCAGATTCTGAGCACTGATCTGGCTGCGCGGCTGCAGTGCTGAACGGACACGGCCAAGAACAGTCCTCCACCACAGACACCACTGACACTGACCCAAATGGCATCACCTCCATCTGTTCCTGGAAACTGGGACCAGTCCCCGGGTCCTGGCAGTGGACGGGAGTATGGAGGGTTCAGCCCAGCCCCACAAAGGCCGGCTGCAGCCGCCAGCCCAGGCAGCGCTGCGAACTCAGGTATCCCTGATTTATAGAGAGAGAATCATAGAATCAATGGTCAGAGTTGGAAGGGACCTTCAAGATCATCAAGCTCCAACGCCCTGCCCTGGGCAGGGACACCTCCCACTAGAGCAGGTTGCTCAAAGCCCCACCCAGCCTGGCTTTAAACACTTTGATTTCTTAAATATAAAAAAAATGATGTATTACTTACATAAGAGTCTGGTAGAATATTTATCTTCTTTAACATTAAGGAACAACCCAGCTGCAACTCACTGGTCCATCAGTTCTACCTTCTTGTGGATTAGTGCAGCTCCCAGACCACCTGGACTGAGCTGGTTTTTGATGGCAGCCTCCAAATGTCCTCAACCAGGAGCAAAAGGTCAAAAATTGTCTGTGGCAACAGACCCAGACTGTAAAGGAAGCAAGGTTCTGCCTTGCCTGTTTGAGGATTTGTTTGGGCTTTGATTTTTTAATTATTATTTTTTTTAAAGACAACATAAAGGCTACAGACAAAAAAGGCAGCTCAAGGCTACTGCAGGGCGGATTTGCCAGCCAGACCAGCTTGCAAAGGCTACTGGGGAGCCCTGGGCACAGCTGGGAGCAGCTGCACCAGTACCCACTGCTGCTGCTGCACACTCCCTCCTGGGAGCAGTCGGGGTTAATTGGACAATTAACCATTAACAATTAAAGGATGCTGCAGCCCATCCTTTCACCCTCAACGAGGACTGGATTAGGGGCCACCCCCGTGTCCCCCTGAGGCAGCGGGTAGTTGGGCAAGGAGAGGCAGCAGCCACCCAGCTGCTGGAGGGGCTGGGGTGGTTGTTTTTTTAGAACTTTTTCTGGTAGGAAGGAACTTGGCTGGTGCATAACTTAATTATCCCCAAGGTAATGCTTTATCTGGAGGAACATCCACTTCAGCCTATTGTTGTGGCTACAATGAAACCCCCCTTACCTGGTTCCTCCCTGCGGGTGACTCACGGCTTCTACCACTGCTGGAGGAGGCCAGAAGCTTCAAAGCAGTGAGGGACCACTCTTACCTGGTGAGGAACTGCTCTTACCTGGTGAGGGACTGCTCTTACCTGGTGAGGGACTGCTCTTACCTGCTCGTTTTCCTCCTCTTGCACTTCTCCCCCCGGGGTGGCTGCCCTGGCAGACGGCTGAGGGACCAAACGCAATGTCATGAGCACATCTCTCCTCTCTGCAGGAAGGCCTGGGTCTGTAATTACTCCAACATTATCATTATTTGCCTCATGCTGCCCAAAATTCACTAACTGGGTGCCGGAGTGTTCGTGCAGTTGGAAAACGTTCCCACTGCCCCAGGGAGAGGGGGAGGCTGTCCCCCCTCCCAGGGAAGGCAGGTCCCTGGGGAACACGGCCAACGGGGCTGGGACAAACCACCCTGGAAAATAACAACAGCTTTTCTCTTCTGCAGCAGCTTCCAGGCACTGACAAAGCATCCAGGGCTGAGGTGGGAAGTCAAAGAGAAGTAAACAGTGAAATAAATGATTTTTTTTTGAGAAAAACAACAACAAAAAAAAGAGATAAATTCTCTGTCAAACCTTCCAAGATGTGAGAGAGGGGGAAAGTGGCAGCTGTGAAGAAAAGGGAGTGAAAAAGAGGGAAGACCCAAATTGCGTGAACATCATTTGCATCAGTCTCTCGGTTGGTGCTTTCTGGTCCAACAGCTACACAGAGTAAGGCCATGCAGGTTCATAAAAAAATGATACTTTATTTTAAATGCAGCTACTGCCATGAGTCATCAAAATAGACTTTGTAATAGTTACTTTCTTTTAAATATGAGGTGACGAATGACAGCTAAGAATTTAAACTACGTGAAATGGCCTAAAACCGTAAATTAAAAGAGCTAAATTTAAATATTACAAACGACAATTTTCAGAAGAAAAAAGGGAATAAAAATATTTTCCAGAAAAAGTAAAAGAATTTGGCCAGTAAAACCATACTAAAAACGTAAATTAATGAGATACTGCACATGAAATACTTGAAGAGGGCTCCTTTCTGTCATTGTCATTTAAAAGAATCACAAAGCTAAAATCTCACAATTTAAATTACGTTGCTCTAATAATTTCTCTTACTTAAAAACAGTTCAATACTCCAGGAGAATCCAAGGAACCGCTGATAAATTGCACTTCTACATGTTGTTCTGCAGTGGGGCTGCCGCTATTGCTGCAGCACCCGACCAGGGACACTGTGGTGGCCACCTGGACCTTCTCATGCACACAGCTCTTCAGGGCAGAGTATTTCTACAGGGTCCGTGCAATGGGTGGGCTGGGGGTAGCAGCTCTGGGCTCCTCACAAAGCCCTCCAGAATGACCAAAAATCATGGCTGAAGGGGAATCGGGTCTCGGCTTCACACTTCTCAGCCGTATCCTCGCTGGCTCAGCTCTCAAAGTGCCACTGCTGAGGAAGGGACCCATCACAGATGGCCATGGTCACGTACCCTTTGTGGCTAAGTGGGTCTACCACCTTCATGCACTGCCCCACGGAGACCTGGTAGAGGCGGTTGTTTTTCTAGAGGAGAAAGACAGATGGGATTTATTTATTAAAACTTCAGTTCTACTGCCCTGTCAAACCCATGCTCAAGGGGAGGGAATGCTCCTTCCTGACAGGCGAGCCTCTCAGCAGCCTCCCTCACACAACACGCCCACAGCAGCGGCACTTCAAACCACAGCACATCCCATAACCACGTCCAGGCCTTCAAACAAAGGCTCTCACACCCTTACAGGGACCCAGCTCTAATTTGGATGATACCATAGTCTCTTACTGAAGGTGGTGGGATGAGCAAAGCCACTCCCAGCCCTCAGCAGAAGGGGAGCCCAGAAGGCTCCAGAGCACCTTCAAGCACGAAGCAGAAATTCCCCCATGGGCTGCTCCTGTCTCCCAGCCCCACAAACACAACACAACAAAGAGCCATGGGGTGGATTTTGTTCTCTCCAGCACGTTCCTGTGAGCTCTAAGTGCTGCGGGTGGCTGTGACAAGCAGCAAAAAAGGCTACACAGGGCTGCAGAAACCTTCCTGTGTTGCAAAGGAAAAGGCCTGCGTGTCCCAGAGCTCAGCAAAAGTCTTATTCAGGCTGAAATGTGAAATGCGGCCACAGAAGCCCCTGCAACTTTTGTTCAGGAGGCCTGGACCCAGGTCCAGTGCAACTGACAGTACATCTGAAGTTTAGTCATAATTAAACTCAACCCTGCCATTGTCACTTACTGAGACATTAATTACAAACAATGTGCTATACACCAGCCACTCTGCTTACCCCGAATGTCCACTGCTGCGAGCCACCAGACCCGTGGCATTTCATGAGACGAGGAGGGTCGGAGGAGCGAGTTTCCGAAACGTCCAAGCAAAGGAGATTATTTAAAATCAGCTCATGATCTTCATTGTAAACCCAGACCTGAAAAAGAAAACAAAAGACATTGATCGCAGTGTTTCAGGGCAGGTGCCTTGCATCTTTTGTTCAGCTCCAGAGGAGGCCCTTTAGCATCTGGACATCAGACATGGACCTTGCAACACCCATTGCCCCTTCGCTGCCTTTTTTTCCAGCAACCAAAATGCAGCTGCAGCCTCTGTTCCCTTCCCAACACTGCTCAGCGTGGCCCCAGGCACAGGCACTAAAAGCACCACTTGTGATTCTGCTCCCACTTGTTTTATAATTAAGTAGCCCCCATATGTTCCTCCTGCCCAGGCAGCTAGACAAGATAACAGAACAGGCAAGTGGTAGATCTCCAAGGAGGTGACCAGCAGCTCTCTGAGCCAAGTCATTATGCCAGGCAGTAAATCTCATCCAAAGACGGTCCTTTAGTCACGAAGGGGCTGGTGGATTGTCTCAGCTCCACATAGGGAGCCAGCTTATGGGCCACTGGAGGACACTAAATGACAGCAGGTGGCCCAGGAGCTGTGGGGAAGTAGCTTGGCAGGCATGCAAGGCCAAAAGGTATCTCCAATCTTGTTTGAAGCTACTGCATTTGTCCATAAATACATAAGCATTTATTTAACATTGTGTTCTGGGGTCAGCTTGTAGATGCTGAATGATGAAAACCCAAAATCAGCTGTGCCAATTCTGATGCCAGGTGGCCTACATTAGTCCCCACAATGATCCCAAGGTCCTATTCCTTGCAGCTGGTGGCCTGGTGCTCAGGGATCTTTACTGAAGGATGGTGACTCCACCACCTCCCTGGGCAGGCTGTTCCAGTGCCTGACCACCCTCTCAGTAAAGCAATTCTTCCTAATATCTAATCTAAACCTTCCCTGCCACAACGTCACACCATTTCCTCTGGTCCTGTCATTCCCTCGGGAGAAGAGACCAACTACCCACTCAGGTATTGTAGAGGGCAATGAGGTCTCCCTTCAGCCTCCTCTTCTCCAAACTAAACATGCCCCATCCTGTCAGGGAGGGGGTGAATGAGGGGCTGGGGGGTTTAACCCGTGTCACTGTGACACCTGAGCCCTGGCACAACCTCCGTGCTGGGGTCAAGGCTAAAAAAGTCCCCCAGGATTTCTGGCAGAGAAGGGGGAAGGGGCCAGGCCCAGGCCAGTCTCGGGTGTCAGTTATTTATACTGAGCACTTGGGCAGCTGGGAGCAGGGCAGCATCTGCCCAGGGCCAGGCACAGGGGTCAGCACAGGGCAACCACAGGAGAAACCAGCCACGGAGCAAAGCCCATCTCGGCATGGGGCTGTCCCAACCAACGCCATGAGGCATCAAGAAGGAGATACTCAACACAGAGGCTTAAAAAAATCAGTCCTGGGCACAATAGCATCATACATTTCTCAGTAGGACAAACTGAGTGCTGTGGTAGCTTCTAACCTGGGATAAGGCTTTTCCTTCTATGCTTCCTGTTCAGCCTAATTCCCAAGGGTCACCTGTGAGTGGTCACGCAAATATGGGAATAAAACTAGGACTTTCCACCTAATCCCAGGCAGCCCGTGCAGGAGGTGGTCACAGAAAAGCCTTAATACCCCTCACGTGTTCAGATTCCGAGCACTGACCTGGCTGCGCGGCTGCAGTGCTGAACGGACACGGCCAAGAACAGTCCTCCACCACAGACACCACTGACACCGACCCAAATGGCATCACCTCCATCTGTTCCTGGAAACTGGGACCAGTCCCCGGGTCCTGGCAGTGGACGGGAGTATGGAGGGCTCAGCCCAGCCCCACAAAGGCCGGCTGCAGCCGCCAGCCCAGGCAGCGCTGCAAACTCAGGTATCCCTGATTTATAGAGAGAGAATCATAGAATCAATGGTCAGAGTTGGAAGGGACCTTCAGGATCATCAAGCTCCAACCCCCTGCCCTGGGTGAAGACATCTCCCACTAGAGCAGGTTGCTCAAAGCCCCATCCAGCCTGGCTTTAAACACTTAGATTTCTTAAATATAAAAAAAATGATGTTTTACTTACCTAAGAGTCTGGTAGAATATTTATCTTCGTTAACATTAAGGAACAACCCAGCTGCAACTCACTGGTCCATCAGTTCTACCTTCTTGTGGATTAGTGCAGCTCCCAGACCACCTGGACTGAGCTGGTTTTTGATGGCAGCCTCCAAATGTCCTCAACCAGGAGCAAAAGGTCAAAAATTGTCTGTGGCAACAGACCCAGACTGTAAAGGAAGCAAGGTTCTGCCTTGCCTGTTTGAGGATTTGTTTGGGCTTTGATTTTTTAATTATTATTTTTTTTAAAGACAACATAAAGGCTACAGACAAAAAAGGCAGCTCAAGGCTACTGCAGGGCGGATTTGCCAAAATGATGTATTACTTACATAAGAGTCTGGTAGAATATTTATCTTCTTTAACATTAAGGAACAACCCAGCTGCAACTCACTGCTCCATCAGTTCTACCTTCTCGTGGATTAGTGCAGGCTCCCAGACCTAGGGACTGCTCTTACCTGCTCGTTTTCCTCCTCTTGCACTTCTCCCCCCGGGGTGGCTGCCCTGGCAGACGGCTGAGGGACCAAACGCAATGTCATGAGCACATCTCTCCTCTCTGCAGGAAGGCCTGGGTCTGTAATTACTCCAACATTATCATTATTTGCCTCATGCTGCCCAAAATTCACTAACTGGGTGCCGGAGTGTTCGTGCAGTTGGAAAACGTTCCCACTGCCCCAGGGAGAGGGGGAGGCTGTCCCCCCTCCCAGGGAAGGCAGGTCCCTGGGGAACACGGCCAACGGGGCTGGGACAAACCACCCTGGAAAATAACAACAGCTTTTCTCTTCTGCAGCAGCTTCCAGGCACTGACAAAGCATCCAGGGCTGAGGTGGGAAGTCAAAGAGAAGTAAACAGTGAAATAAATGATTTTTTTTTGAGAAAAACAACAACACAAACGCAATGTCATGAGCACATCTCTCCTCTCTGCAGGAAGGCCTGGGTCTGTAATTACTCCAACATTATCATTATTTGCCTCATGCTGCCCAAAATTCACTAACTGGGTGCCGGAGTGTTCGTGCAGTTGGAAAACGTTCCCACTGCCCCAGGGACAATGAAACCCCCCTTACCTGGTTCCTCCCCGTGGGTGACTCACTGCTTCCACCCCTGCTGGAGGAGGCCAGAAGCTTCAAAGCGGTGAGGGACTGCTCTTACCTGGTGAGGAACTGCTCTTACCTGGTGAGGGACCGCTCTTACCTGGTGAGGGACTGCTCTTACCTCCTTGTTTTCCTCCTCTTGCACTTCTCCCCCCGGGGTGGCTGCCCTGGCAGACGGCTGAGGGACCAAACGCAATGTCATGAGCACATCTCTCCTCTCTGCAGGAAGGCCTGGGTCTGTAATTACTCCAACATTATCATTATTTGCCTCAGGCTGCCCAAAATTCACTAACTGGGTGCTGGAGTGTTCGTGCAGTTGGAAAATGTTCCTGCTGCCCCAGGAAGAGGGGGAGGCTGTCCCCCCTCCCAGGGAAGGCAGGTCCCTGGGGAACACGGCCAACGGGGCTGGGACAAACCACCCTGGAAAATAACAACAGCTTTTCTCTTCTGCAGCAGCTTCCAGGCACTGACAAAGCATCCAGGGCTGAGGTGGGAAGTCAAAGAGAAGTAAACAGTGAAATAAATGATTTTTTTTTGAGAAAAACAACAACAAAAAAAAGAGATAAATTCTCTGTCAAACCTTCCAAGATGTGAGAGAGGGGGAAAGTGGCAGCTGTGAAGAAAAGGGAGTGAAAAAGAGGGAAGACCCAAATTGCGTGAACATCATTTGCATCAGTCTCTCGGTTGGTGCTTTCTGGTCCAACAGCTACACAGAGTAAGGCCATGCAGGTTCATAAAAAAATGATACTTTATTTTAAATGCAGCTACTGCCATGAGTCATCAAAATAGACTTTGTAATAGTTACTTTCTTTTAAATATGAGGTGACAAATGACAGCTAAGAATTTAAACTACGTGAAATGGCCTAAAACCGTAAATTAAAAGAGCTAAATTTAAATATTACAAACGACAATTTTCAGAAGAAAAAAGGGAATAAAAATATTTTCCAGAAAAAGTAAAAGAATTTGGCCAGTAAAACCATACTAAAAACGTAAATTAATGAGATACTGCACATGAAATACTTGAAGAGGGCTCCTTTCTGTCATTGTCATTTAAAAGAATCACAAAGCTAAAATCTCACAATTTAAATTACGTTGCTCTAATAATTTCTCTTACTTAAAAACAGTTCAATACTCCAGGAGAATCCAAGGAACCGCTGATAAATTGCACTTCTACATGTTGTTCTGCAGTGGGGCTGCCGCTATTGCTGCAGCACCCGACCAGGGACACTGTGGTGGCCACCTGGACCTTCTCATGCACACAGCTCTTCAGGGCAGAGTATTTCTACAGGGTCCGTGCAATGGGTGGGCTGGGGGTAGCAGCTCTGGGCTCCTCACAAAGCCCTCCAGAATGACCAAAAATCATGGCTGAAGGGGAATCGGGTGTCGGCTTAACGCTTCTCAGCCGCATCCTCGCTGGCTCAGCTCTCAAAGTGCCACTGCTGAGGAAGGGACCCATCACAGATGGCCATGGTCACGTACCCTTTGTGGCTAAGTGGGTCTACCACCTTCATGCACTGCCCCACGGAGACCTGGTAGAGGCGGTTGTTTTTCTAGAGGAGAAAGACAGATGGGATTTATTTATTAAAACTTCTACTGCCCTGTCAAACCCATGCTCGAGGGGAGGGGATGCTCCTTCCTGACAGGCGAGCCTCTCAGCAGCCTCCCTCACACAACACGCCCACAGCAGCGGCACTTCAAACCACAGCACATCCCATAACCACGTCCAGGCCTTCAAACAAAGGCTCTCACACCCTTACAGGGACCCAGCTCTAATTTGGATGATACCATAGTCTCTTACTGAAGGTGGTGGGATGAGCAAAGCCACTCCCAGCCCTCAGCAGAAGGGGAGCCCAGAAGGCTCCAGAGCACCTTCAAGCACGAA